TGTTCCTAAGAATAACCAAGTCCCTCTTGTTCACCCTATATTCTGTAAGTAAAAACTTAAGTTATGGGGGGGGGGGGGGAGAATACAGTATTTTATGTGAAAGAGAGATGTACTCAAAACATACGGACATCACGAGACCATTTGGTCCTTCAAGGCTGTCCTTGTACACCCACACCTGGGAAAAGTAAAAATGTAAAACCCACTCTTTCAGGAAATCCTCGATTTCCCTCTTAAACCCTGCAAAGTGCTACCTTCCATTACTTCCGCCAACAGCTCGTTCGTTCCATAAGCCAATCACTTACATCTGATTTACAACGTAGGTAAAAAATAAAAACATCTGCTGTTTATATCACGAATGTCTAGCTTCTTTTCTTTTTTTTTTTTTTTTTTCTTAACGCTCCGTCATCTTTCGGCGTAACTTTAAAAAAAATCGTTTTACAATAGAAACATAATCTGATTTCACATTTTACTTTCAACATCCGGCTGATTTTTATCAGGAAATCTTAAAAATCATGCTGTTTACCTGGTGTTTTAAACCCACCAAGTCTCTGTAACAGCTATTGCATCACCTGTACTTCTGTCGTAGCAATATTTTCACGCGCAAGTGACTCATGCATGAGCACGTGTGTATCCGTAACCAAGGTGGTCGCCAGCTGTTGGTATATCCACCACCTGCCTCTCCTCCGTCAGCCTCGAATAACCGTCTTTCTCCTCCTTGCGTAAGACAAGTATGGACAAGGTGTAGAAAATTCCACACCAAAATGTATTTGATTCTCATACTTTTGTTAATCTTTGAATTTACCGTTACACGTTTCCTGCAACTGTCCGAGACTTGTGTGTATTAATGTTTTATGTATTTGAAATGTACATATGTGAGACTTGTTGAGAATATAACTGGTGCATACTCGTTATAAGTAGTTTAGCTAAATTAAGTATGTTAACAACGTCACTTTAAATATACAAAAAACCGTTACAGAAGTGGAAGAAATATTTGAGATTATTCTCCAAAAGTAGATTGTTTTCAATATAGAGTTGAAACACATCACCAACAGACTGGAATATTTCCTGTTAATAATCCTGTATATACATCACCAACAGACTGGAATATTTCCTGTTAATAATCCTGTATTATGCATCACCAACAGACTGGGATATTTCCTGTTAATACTCCTGTATTATGCATCACCAACAGACTGGAATATTTCCTGTTAATACTCCTGTATTATGCATCATCAACAGACTGGGATATTTCCTGTTAATACTCCTGTATTATGCATCATCAACAGACTGGGATATTTCCTGTTAATACTCCTGTATTATGCATCACCAACAAACTGGGATATTTCCTGTTAATACTCCTGTATTATGCATCACTAATACATTGGGATATTTCTTTTGAACACTGCTCTATTATACAGGGTGGTCCAAAACTATCTTTCCTATTTTAAAATTTAATAATTAAATTAGTAAAGAAATACAACCATGCAGTTTTCAACATCTTGTAGCCAAACCGAAACAGTTTTTATTAACATGTCAGTCGACTTCTACGTGTATATTATTGGTGGCTCTCAGCACGTCTGATCGATATTAAGTTGCATTACACGTTCGTTGCAACACGTCTATAGTTACGTCTGTTATCCTGATCTTTAGTATCTGTGATGTTTGCTATAGGTGTGCAATACGCGATGTCCTTAACATACCCCCAAGGAAATAAGTCTAGCGAACACGGAGGCCATGGACTTGACCCACTTAGACGAATCCATCGCATTGAGCCTATCCTTTCACTGTTACAATTTTACCGAGTGACATTACTCACTGGAGTGAAAAAACAACAACATGACGATAAAAACTATTTGTTTGTTTTGAATGTCGCGCAAAGCTACACGAGGGCTATTTGCGTTAGCCGTCCCTAATTTAGCAGTGTAAGGCAGAAGGAAGGCAGCTAGTCATCACCACCCACCGCCAACTCTTGGACTACTCTTTTACCAACGAATTCTGGGATTGACCGTCACAATATAACGCCCCCACGGCTGAAAGGGCGAGCATATTTGATGGGACGGGATTAGAACCCGCGACCCTCAGATTGCGAGTCAACTGCCTTAACCACCTGGCTATGCTGGGCCTAAAAACTGTTTAAGATGGGTTAAAAGGTGTTGAGAATTGTATGGTTCTATTTGTTTACTTATATGATTATGAAATTTTAAAATATGAAATATAATTTTGAACCCCCTGTATATTCTAATACATTGGAATATTTCCTGTTAAGTTTGTTATAAGCGCTGAACAGTACATTGTAATGTTTACTGTTAATACTTAAAAGCTGAAATATTTCTCGTTAACACTTTGATACAACCTTAGAGAAGGAACATAAAAAAAAATCAAAATATCGTTTATGTAAAACTAAATGTTGTTCACGTTTTCAGGCTGCCATTCTACAACACACATCAGAATATATTTATCAGCTAGAACAAGAAAAGACCAAACTGTTATCTCAGAACTGTCAACTAAAGCGACTGCTGAACTCGCAGATCCCACCAGAAAATGTATTTAGTAATTCTGACTCTCCTCTACCCAAAAGGAAAAAGGTCAAACATAGTAAGTAAATTAATTTAGTAATTCTGACTCTCCTCTAACCAAAAGGAAAACGGTCAAACATAGTAAGTAAATGAATTTAGTAATTCTGAATTTCCTCTAACCAAAAGGAAAAAGGTCAAACATAGTAAGTAAATGAATTTAGTAATTCTGACTCTCCTCTAACCAAAAGGAAAAAGGTCAAACATAGTAAGTAAATGAATTTAGTAATTCTGAATTTCCTGTACCCAAAAGGAAAAAGGTCAAACATAGTAAGTAAATGAATTTAGTAATTCTGAATTTCCTCTAACCAAAAGGAAAAAGATCAAACATAGTAAGTAAATGAATTTAGTAATTCTGAATTTCCTCTACCCAAAAGGAAAAAGGTCAAACATAGTAAGTAAATGAATTTAGTAATTCTGAATTTCCTCTAACCAAAAGGAAAAAGGTCAAACATAGTAAGTAAATTAATTTAGTAATTCTGACTCTCCTCTAACCAAAAGGAAAACGGTCAAACATAGTAAGTAAATGAATTTAGTAATTCTGACTCTCCTCTAACCAAAAGGAAAAAGGTCAAACATAGTAAGTAATTATGAAAGTAGATCCAAGTTGGTATGGTGTATTAATAATGAAAAACTTGCCTTCGTTTTTAAAGCATGTTTTCATCTCTCAAACTTTTGCATACAGTGCAATCTGGTGTACTTAATCAGCTGTTTGCCACAGTTTAAGCTATATCATGCATTGCCATCCTGGATAGGTTAAGGGTAAAAAAAATGCGTACCTCAGAATTTTCAGTTTATTTAGTTGGTGATGTTTGTCAGTTGTATAAAAGCAAAACACAGACAAGTTTCTATCTGTGGATAGCAAAACATCCATCCTTGAAATCTTCCATCACTTTCTCTCTATTATTTTGTATTGGTTGGATGGCTTTAAGGGTCACTCTTCAGGACGTAATTTTATAGAGAATCTAAATTAAAGTTGTTGAAATATCACTTTTAATTAAAATATAAATAACCTGAATTAAATATATATATTTTTCAAAATTGACAAACATCAAACACAGTCCTTTCATTAAAATATTGTTAGACAACGGAAGTCATGTGACGCTAGTAACACGTAATGAGTACCTAGAAGGTTCCTGAAGGCTCGAGACGCCCTCTATTTTGTATATATAAGACCGGCGAGAAGTGACGGCATAGATATGTAGATAATTGCAGACAGATAGAGATGGACAATTGAGTCAAGCGTGGTAGGAAGTAAAGTGCGTGAATTGTTCGTTGTGAATTATAGCGTGTGTTTAAGTCAAAGTGACTGTGGAAATTAAGTGTATTGCATAGTTGAATTGAGAAAGAATAAACTAGTTTTATTTAAGAAAAGACTTGTATCACTGAAGTTTCTCGGAAAGAATTTCTATGAAAAATTAACAAACGACCAGAGACATAACAATATATTCAGAATCAGGTTAGATTAAGCTTATCAAATATACCCTACCTTCTTTTTTATTCATTTATCATTTTCCTTTTGATTAAAACTAATTATTTTTTTCTCCTGTTATTATAGAAAATCAGTTTGTTTCTGTAATCTTTAACAAATTAATACAAAATACACACTACTTCTTACTTACTTTTCCTTTTTTTGTTTTTGTGGTTCCTAGTAATATATTTTACAGATGCACAATTTTTCAACTAACCTTACTCAGTTACAAGTGGTATCAAAATAATCTATCAAAGATTTTTGGAAAGTTAGTATTCTATGTTTTACTTTAGAAAAATATGGTTCTTTTATATACCTTCACAATACAGTCATTAAAATGTTTGCTGGCAAGTATGGGGTTTTGTTGTTGTTGTTTTTTGGAGAAAAAAAAGCCTAATTTATATGTGTGTGTGTGTGTGTGTGTGTGTGTGTATGGGTGGGGGAGAGAAGATGTCCAAAGCCTTTCTTTGCAAAACTTAATGTATATAATAAAACAGTATATAGAAACAATACAAAAGATGAAAAAAGGTAATCATTTAATAAGGTCTTGAAAATTACATCCTAAACTTTGGTAGTCAGTCCTTACCTACATATTTCCTGGGAGAATGTGTGTTTTGATTCAGGGAAGGCAGTAAGTACCCAATTTGGCCTTTGACACCTTTCTGTTTTGGTGATTGCTTCAGTTTTCTTTATTTTCTTATAATTGTGTGTTGTTTATTTTGATGAAAGAACATGCTGTAAGAAATATTCCACTGTTTGAAACTATGTGGTGTTTCATTCTTGGTTTGGAAAGAATATGAGAAGGAATCAGATCACCAGATAGATACTTGTTAAAAGTAACTATCCCAACTAATAACTGACTAGGGGAATTGCTGATACTCTGAACATTGACTCTGTATGTAAATCGGGACGGCAAGTGGAATGAATTGGGTTGAGAAGACTTCCTTCAGCCTGTCCAGTTGACTGCTTGGGTTGCTTGGAGTTTTCTCAAGATGACTACAATTGGTACTGTTTTGCACTTGTACGTTTCACATGTAAGCTGGGGTTCTATGTCTCTGTAATAATTGGTGTGTTTATGTCTTCAAAGAGCCAGAAGTGAATGGTATACTCCATGCATCACTGTTGACTGACCATTTGGTAGCAATTCATTTAGGGTATGTCGAGACATTACAATGACTGGACATACAGATCTTATTGTGCTTCTTAGAAGCAGTTTAGTGGTGAACAATACTTATCAAGTGTGTTGGAGGGTACAGTGAAAGTTGAAGTGTGCCCTGAAGATACTGAGATTGTACCGGTGTTGGAGGGTACATTGTAAGTTGAAATGTGCTCTGAAGATACTGAGACTGTACCAGTGTTGGAGAAGTGGTGAAGGCAAATATAGTATTCAGGGAAGTTGATTCAGTCAAACTCCAAATCTGACCACTACAGATTGTCACTAGAGATGTATTGTCAATGCAAAAGATTTATAAGTTGAACTCAGTGAATAATATTTGGTGCTCTAAAAATATAATGACAAATAGTTTATAATTACGAATCAGTTTCCTTCCTTTGATCGAAGGACAGTTTAACTATAAAAGTGTACATCTAATCCGTTGAAATAGTTTATTCTTATGTCATACTATTAGCTTATGTACAGAAGTTTTCCCACATCATTCTCTTAAAATAATTTAATTCTATAAATGTGAAAACTATGATCAAAAAAGATGTTATCATTGTTGTGTTATATTAAAGCTTATGAACTTTACACGAAAGATGAAACAGTTCATGCTCCTAGCAATTAACTTGTATTATCTTTACATTGCTGCATTCATTAATCATGACCACATTTTCTTTCAGCAACAACTGCAGAGTCGTCTGACGAAGGGATTGGAAATATGAGTCCACATCAAGAGCCTAAATGCAACTTGGATGAAGTGAAATCTGAAGTGTTAGAGCTTCGTGCTCAATTAGATCGGGAGAGGAGGCTGCGAATGATACTAGAGGAGCAGACTCGGAATCTTGAAAGTCAGGTCTATCAAACCCAAGCATCAGAGGTAGGTACAATGTTTATTTATCTTGTAATAAGAACACATATATATTATTAATAAAGTAAACTATTAGTTTTTTTTTATATAAGTGAGATAATTTACTTGTGCAAGCTGTCCGAATTGATGCTATATGTTCACGAGTGCTTCACGTTCTTATCCATATAATGTTACGTTCTTAAGCAAGAAATGATAAATTGTTAAGGAAAATTAAACTTTCTATAAAGTAGTAATTTCTTTTTTTTCAGTGTCTCGTGGGAAGGTTTGTCGGTCAGTTTCCGTCACAGCAACAATTAGTCAGTGTACAACGAAACAATGATGTTTTACCCGAGGAACTAAAATCTCCTAATTCCAGAGCACCAGAAGCTCCGCAAGACTTGTCTGGAAGGAAGTCTCATTCTGAAGAAGTAATTCATGCTAATTCTATTGTCCAAATATCAAGGGCAGAGTTTAAGGAACCACAGAATCTGTGTAAAGGAAACAGCACATCGAGACAGAATCTGGAGACGATTGTTGAAGCTATTCGGCATCTGGAAGGTGATCACTTGTTTCGTGATGATCCTGAACCACCCGAACAAACAAGGTTGGTTTCTGAATGCACTCCAAGTTCTCAGCTTCATACTTCTAGAAATGAACTTGTTATGCAACAACACTTGTTTCACTGTCCACCAGTGGCTTCTTACTCTCGGCCAGGTGTCATTGTTGCCAATCATTCGTAACCACTCCTTTTTTTTTTCAATGATTCTTGAATATAATTTTGTTTTTAATCTTCACATGTCATCTTCATAATGTATATATAGTAACGTTGTAATTTTACTATCGTATATTGTACACTGTTGTATGATAATTATCAGGAGACTTGGGTTACATTTAGTAAAAACTATGAGGAGTTTATGATTTTTTAAATAATTAAAAAAGCAACTGAAATGATTAAAGAATAAACTTTCCCTAACTCATTCATTGAAAGAGAGAGATTTAGTATTTTTTGAAAGGTTTTTCAAAAACTTAGTGTTAAATTTTGTGTGGTTATATTTTTACCACAATTTTTGTAAAAGTTTGGCTTTTCATTTTAATAGATTTAGATCTGAGCCAAAGTGAAGGTATTGTAGTGTTTTACAGTTCATGTAAATTTATAATGTGCATAGAGAGAAAAGTGGTTTAAAAGCAGAAAAATCACCTTAAAGTCTAACATTTATCAGTGTTTTTATATTTGTAAAAAGTAAATTTCTGTATCCGTCTGACTGTAAATGTGTAAGATATTACGCAATTCATTATCAGTACGTCAAAGTGTGTTGATGTACACATTATTGAAAATTTTTAAGAGCTGTATGGCAGATCTGTCACATTTGCATTTTTTATGCCATTCTTGAGTTCAATGTTCCTATTTTTTGTGTACTATGTAAAATAAAGTTTGAAATAATCTTATCTTGATATTTATTATTATCATCTAAGAACTGAAGATCATATCATTTCCTTTCTTTTGTTGTATTGTTGGAAATACAGTGTGAAAATAAACTTACATTTGTTGTATTGTTGGAAATACAGTGTGCAAATAAACTTACATTTCTGCTTATTTTTCAATTCCATAAGTGAGTAAAATTTCATTTTATTCAAAACTCTAAACAAGGGTTAATCACTGACTAGCTTAAAATTGTAGGATTTCTGGAAGGTCTTAAGAAACCTTATTCAATAGACTAACTACAGGTTGATTATATATTAAGAAATGGATGTTATACGGTTAATATTCTTATCATTAATATATTGTCAAATGAGAAATATTTCCGATCCAGCAGTACATATACACCTGGAAAAAAGTTAAGCACCCCCAAATATTTTTCAGGATTGCTTATTGAAAATAAGGTTTAATTTTCATGATGTTGAGCAATGTTCATAATTTCAAACATAATTAAAAGGATGTGAGCGTTCAGGTGTGACATTTAAATCAGGCGC